AACCAAAACAGTGATTAATTGGATAGCTTCCTTCCCCTTGTCCTCTCTCATTTTCAGATGTAAAAAAGCCAAATCCCAGAGAGGCAAACTCACTTACACCAAGGTCATAGGGGTCAAACAGCAGCATACAGTGACACCAGAATCCAGATTTCTTCTTCATTTTTTCTTTTTTTCTTTTTTTGAGATGGAGTCTTGCTCTGTTGCCCCAGGCTGAGTGCAATGGCACAATCTCAGCTCACTGGCAAACGTCGCCTCCTGGGTTCAAGCAATTCTCCTGCCTCAGCCTCTGGAGCAGCTGGGATTACAGGCACGCATCACCATGTCCTGCTAATTTTTGTATTTTTAGCAGAGACGGGGTTTCACCATGTTGGCCAGGCTGGTCTCGAACTTCTAACCTCAGGTGATCTGCCTGCCTCGGCCTCCCAAAGTTTTGGGATTATAGGTGTGAGCCACTGCTCCTGGCCAGAATTCAGATTTATTGACTCAATTCTACCCTTTCTATTTGCCCATAAAATAATTCCAGTAAATATGTACTTTGGGGTCAGAAATAATAAAGGAATAATCCTAGGAATCCAGAAGTGAAAGATTCAACTATTTTCCTCAAGCCAGCCCCTTACCTCAAGTAGTAGTCATATTCAATATTCTGACTTATTCTTAACTTACATACTGGGTAATATTTCTAGGGATAAACTTACAACACAAACAGCAAGAGGTTTGTTGAAAACCACATTTGCTGAGAAGCACTCCTAATGAAGCTTCTACCTGAGTTTTGATTTGCTATATATTTAGAAGATAATTTGCTTTAAAACTGCTTTCCAGATAATTAGGACCATATCTTAAAACTCTCAGGTGAAATATAAGATTTGAATATAAGGGCTGGGCATAGTGGCTCACACCTGTAATCCCGGCATTTTGGGAGGCTGAGGCAGGCAGATCACTTGAGGTCAGAAGTTCGAGACCAGCCTGGCCAACATGGTGAAACCCTGTCCCTACTGAAAATACAAAAATTAGCCGGGCATGGTGGTGTGGGCCTGTAGTCCCAGCTATTCGGTAGTCTGAGGCAGGAGAATCACTTGAACCCAGAGGCAGAGGTTGCAGTGAGCCGAGATTGCACTACTGCACTCTAGCCTGGGCAACAGAGGGAGACTGTCTCAAAACAAAAAAAAAGAGAGAGAGAGATTTGAATGTAAGAAATAATTGTTTTTCTATTTTTCCTGTTCCTATGGTGCTGAAAAAGTAATTGTTAAAATATCAATATACATTAGTTATATGGTCACTAGTCATGAGCAGACTTCACCAGAAGCATAAACTTGATGAGGACAGAGACTGTGGCTGTTTTGTACACCATTGTATCCTTAGCATTCAGCAGGACCTGGCTAATTTAACATTTTTAAATATTTGTTAAATGAATAAATGGACTGTCTCAGAACACAAAATTTACATCTGAAAAAAAATGTTACTAATTAAAAATGGTAAGGCCAGGCGCGGTGGTTCACGCCTATGATCCCAGCACTTCTGGGAGGCTGAGGTGGGTGGATCATGAGGTCAGGAAATCGAGACCATCCTGGCTAACATGGTAAAATCCTGTCTCTACTAAAAATACAAAAAAAGTAGCCAGGCGTGGTGGCAGGCACCTGTAATCCCAGCTACTTGGGAGGCTGAGACAGGAGAATGGTGGGAACCCAGGAGGCAGAACTTGCAGTGAGCTGAGATCTTGCCACTGCACTCCAGCCTGGGCAACAGAATGAGAATCCGTCCCAAAAAAAAAAGAAAAAAGAAAAAATGGTAAAAGTAGGGCTGGCAGTGATGGAATGGCACATTAGAACATCTAGGAACTTTTCCCTTTATATTTACAATATATTATTTTCTTTTTTTGGTTTTTGAGACACGGTCCTCTAGCGATCCTCCTGCCTCAGCACCACCCCTGACAAATAGCAAAGACTACAGGCACATGCCACCAGGCCTGGCTAATTTTTAAATTTGTTGTAGAGATAGGGGTCTCATTATGTTTCCCAAGCTAGTCTCAAACTCATGGCCTCAAGGGAGATCCTCTTGCTTCAGCCTTCCAAAGTGCTGGGATTACAAGTATGAGCCACCATGCCTGGCCTGATTTTCTTTTTATTGCCTATTTTTGTGTCTTGGAAGTCAGACAGCTTGAACTTACCTGTGTCTCCTAACAGTGGAGTAAGCCCACTCTCACCTGTGGGCTAAAGTTAAACTGCCATTAAAGACATCACATCAAGAGGTCAATTACAAATTTGTATTCCTGTAACATTTTGTTTGAGATTTTCATAGGCTTTTTTTTTTTTTTTTGAGACAGAATATTGCTCTGTTGCCCAGGCTGGAGTGCAGCGGCACAATCTCGACTCATGCAGCCTCTGCCTCCCAGGTGCAAACGATTCTCCTGCCTCAGCCTCCCCAGTAGCTGGGATTACAAGTGCACATCACCATGCCTGGCTAATTTTCGTATCTTTAGTAGAGATGGGGTTTCACCATGTTGGCCAGGCTGGTCTTGAACTTCTGACCTCAAGTTATCTGCCTGCCCCAGCCTCCCAAAGTGCTGGGATTACAGGTGTGAGCCACCACAGCTGGCCTTTTTAGGCTATTCTTTGACTCTGCTTCACAGTTCCACCTCCACGAGCTCTTGCTCCTAGATTGTCAACTCCTAGAAGGCAGGCACCAACTTTACTAATCTTATTATCATTAACAGCTAAACATAATTTAACTCAAGATTATTCACTGAAAGAATACAATTTTCACTTTAAGTATTTCACCTTCGATGGGAAAGTGAGCGCCCAATAAATATAACAGTAAGAGAAACACTGCCATCTCCTGGGTAAAACGGGTTGTGCCTCCTTTAGCAAATCCTGGGAAAAGAAAGTATAGAATTTGCAGTGGGTAGATCAGGTTATGAACCTGCAGCTAGAGAATCAAAGCAAACTCGTCAAATTTTAGATTGCTAAAGACAAACTTTTTTTTTTTTTT